AGGACATTCCCGTAAACGTGGAGGCCTCCCTTCTGGGAGGAGATTCGGCTCGGCTGCTGCTGCTGCTGCTGCTGCGCCTCGGTGATGCTGATGTGGGCTGCACCGCTGCTTCCTCCCCAAGAGCCCGGGTGCGTCTGATGATGGGGCCCCAGGTGCGGGGGCCGGTGGTGGAGGGAATGGATGTCCTCCCTGCCGGAGTTTCTCTTCACCTCCTGCGGCTGGGAGCTCGGGGGCCACGGAGAAGCCGCCTCCACTGCTGCCGCCGCTGCCGCCGCTGCGGCTGCAGCATGTGGCAGCGATGTCACCCACTGGTGTGCGTGGCTGAGCATGTGGCCCCCGCTGCCCACCATGGCTCCCTGCATGAAGTCACTCTGCACCATCTTCACCGAGTGGTCTCCCCTGAAACCACCTGAGACGGTGGTGACAGCGGTGCCGCCCGGCTGCATGCCACCACCACCACCTCCTCCACCTCCACCTCCGCTCCTGCGGTCAGAATGAAGGACCGGGCTGGATAAAATCCTGCTGCTCGCCAGGTATGGACTTGAGGTGGCTGTTGCCATCCCACGGAAAATGGAAATGTATTTTCTTTATTGGATCAAAGTCCAAAATAAAGTCTAATCCATAAATCCAGTCTCTCTAAGCTGGTGTCTTATCGTTACGCGCGTGTTCTGTTGTGTATAATCACTCCATCCACGCTCTTCAGGCACTGACTTGTGAGTTTCTGTTACGCATTGCTGTGCAACAAAACTGCAGCTTTCAAAACTTTTCTGTCCCGCCAGTTCCGTCGCCGTGCGTAATCCACATCCAGGACGCGCTGTTCGATCCCGAGCTGCCGCAGAAACCCCCGGACTCTGGGCTCTTCAGGGGTAAAAGGCTTCTAAATGAAATCAAGTAAAAAGATCTAAAGAACCTGCCCTCCTCTCTGAGGCTTCAGCCGCTCCATCCGCTCTCGGCGCGTCCTTCGCGGTTCGAGTCAGACGCGCTTGTGTTTACGCTGTGCCAAGGCTGCGGATTCCTGTTGCCATCACCGTCCAATTACAACAGGGAGATTCCGCAAAGCTCCCGCTGATTGGACGCGCAGTCACAGAGGAGTTGGTGCATCTGAAGACTGAGTGGAGTCGAGCCCGGGCTGCACAAAGTTCCTGTTGCAGGGAAAAAAAACCCCCCAGACCATCCGAGAGCACGAGAATGTTACAGTAGCGGCGAGAGAAAAGACAAAAGACACGGGACACCGAGAGTCGGAGGAGCCGCAGTCAAAAGAGGAGGAGAAAATGTGAAGAACACCGTAGTACTCGCTGGTTTTGGTGTTGTAGGAGTAGTAACATCAGCAGTAGTAGTAATACTTGTTAGCAGCAACAAATAGTTGCTGAGAAAAATGAATAAACCGTTACAATAACCGTCTTATTTACTACAGGTTTCCCCCAAACACACACTTTATCAGGATAAAGAATGTGTGTTTTGGGGTAATTTTGTACGCGTTACCAAATGGACATTTGAATTAAAAAAACGCACTACTTTAATAAATATAATATAGAAAACACTTCTCCAGAAGTGGAAGAAGTAACCATTCTCGTATTTTCAGTAGACGTAGTAGCATCATGTTAGCATCGGCGTGAGTATTAGCAATTGTCACGTCAGTAGGTTAAGTTGTAACAATACCAATACAAGTAGTAGAAGTAGATTTACAGCTGCTTATAATATTAATACTGCAGTAGTAGTACAGACCAGCAGTAATGACAGTGTTTGAACGGACAGTAGTAGTAGTATCAGCGGTACTCCTACTTGTTATTACCAGATATTGAGCCTGATATAATGTGTGTACAGGTAGCTGTAGAAGTAGTACACGTATAAGTAGAAGTATCAAAGTAGTAGTACTTGCTGTGACCTGTAGTGTTGTGGCTTTCAGCAGTTATTCTAATAAAAATGTAACTGTTTTGATAACGATAATAATGGAAATTACTGCTACAACAACGACTACTACGAATAATAATAATAACAATAACAATAATAATAATAATAAATTCACTGATTATTCACAAATTCAGTATGAAGTAAATGAAAGTGTACACTAGCTGTATGTCATTACAGTGAGTAATACTCGTAGTTCAGCGGGTACAGTTGTGTATACAGTCTTCCAACCACAGGGTCAGAGGTTTGATGTCAATGTGTCCCTGAGCCAAATCTTTCAACCCAAACTGCGCATCTGATCAGGACACGAAGGAGCTCGGAGGTCTCTGACTGTGACCTCCGAGTCCCCGTCCCTCACAGTGTATGTGGAGGACTAAGTGTGTGAAAACCAGCGTCGGAGCCACTGAAAGGATATTATTGCAGCTAATGATTTATCGTCCGCCCCCCCCTCCCCTCCCCAACAAAGCAGTGCAGCTAGGCCTGAGTCAGGGTCTGCTCCTGTCTGCTCCGGGTAAACAGAGAGGGTTTGTGCGCTTCCTGCATCTTAATGCGCACCGCTTTTCATATGGTAAAGGCGGAAAAAGCCACAGTGCCGTGACGCACAGCTCTGGTGAGCCGAGGAGCGGAGGCGCACAAACCCCGCGGTCAGCACTCCTTCAGAATGTGGGCAAACAGAAAACCAGGCAGCGTGCAGTGGGATGTTTCCACGGGCCCGGTCCTGGTCCTGGTCTCGGTCTTCAGAGAGCGCGGTGGCTGGTGTCTGAAGTGAGACAGAGAACCAGGTGCAGCCTGAATGAATGTGCTAATTTATGTTTGACAGCGCAGCAGACTTGGGTCGAAGCCAAAAGGTAAAAGATAAATACGCACAAGAATCCGTCCCGCACAGAGTCAGCTTTTTGTCATGGAAGCAGGAAAATTCACATCAGCTGAGTTCAGTTCAACTTCTAGACTCATCCGGCGAGGGCTCCGATTCGAAAAGTAAATATGTAAAAATATGTAGAAGTATGTGGATTTCTGGTTTACAAGATGTACTCTAAGAAAGAAACATGAATTTTAAAATGAAACAGTTATTCATATTTTGTTTGTTTTTGTCAGGGTGTTATGGAGGAGCTTATAGCGACCTTTTGGCAGCGCGGAGCATTTTTCAACAAAGTGTTTGCATTCTGGTGAATAATGGGTTTAAAAGACCAGCATTTAGCATAAGCCAAAAAAAGGCACTTGAAGAATCACCTGTTCTTTGTTCACAGTTTTACTGTAGAGTTTATAAGTACATTCAAAAATACTCCTGAATTAAGAAGGTTAATAAAGTAATACTCAAATGTCACCAATTTGCCAGAAAAACACATCATGTCATTTGGTTTAATTATATCCAATATAATATAAATATAAAAATGCTAATTTGAATTTGAATATTGAATGGATTTTAGCCTTTTGCTTGTAGCCTTTTATCTAACACAAAAAAATAACTACAGGTTCTGAACCTACCTTTCACTGAGATATGATTAGAATATTACCAGTTACACTCAGAACATTGGTCTTTATTTTATTGCCCCGGTGGTTGTTTATCCACGTTTGTATAAAAACATAAAAAATACGAGGACCATTTGCTATTTTTTAACATTTATTTACATTTGAGTGGCTGAAAAGTTTGGCTAAAGAGGAAAAATTGTACCTTGGATTTTGTCAAGTTAAATAAAAGTTTCAAATCCATTGTGGTGTGTATGAATTTAGTAAAAACAAAATTGCGTAAGTCATTATAGTAAATATGTCACAAATCCATTGTAAAATATCTTACTGTTGGTCATTTTGTGCTGTACCTTAGTATAAAATGCTTTTGTTTTGATTTTTGAAGTCTCCAAGGCAGCTGTCTAAAATTCAGCCCCAAATCTTCAAGGAACCAGCCCATGTACTTGTACAATTGTAGCTTTATAATTATGTAGTGTTGCCTACCACACATTTATATTCTACTATTACTACTACTATTTATTCTCTGTTGCTGCAGTCTTTTTTAATTGTTGATGACAGTACTTGATGGCTAAACACAATAAGTGTTACTATTAAAAGAAAGGTGTGTGTTGGCTAGAAATGACTAAATAACAGGCCATAAAACCACTGCTGCCGACGGATCCATGTTAAAAAGCTGTGTAAAAGACTGGGCACCATTTGTCATGAATATGTGTCATGTGGGAGGAGGATTTTCACCATCTCTGAGGAATTCATCACACACCGACAATCCCGGCGTTTTCCAATTAGCATTTAGCTCCAATTAGGCGATCTGTAAATAATGTGTTTATCATTAGTGAAACCACAATCCCTGTCGTAAAAGTGATACAGCTTGCCTCGTGTTTCTTTTTTTTTTTTAATCGTCGTTGCATTTCATGCTTGTTCATGATCGAGTGATTATTGATTCCACCGGCTTTTTTCTTTTTTTTTTTTTTGCAAAGCTGTTTATTGTTCAACTGCATTCAGTGGAACAAAGTGTAGAAGCCGCACGAAAAGCTGCACAGTGTTTTTCTCATGTTTCCACTTGGACCAATGCGATGCAGAGAAAACCAGACGACTCAGGGAATGCGGTAATGTTTTTCATGTGTTGTGCTGGCTGGTCACAGCACCGGGATCTCGATTTGTTATTCATGAAGGAAGCTGGGTGAAGAGGCCCTTCTTATGATGCACATTTTTTTTTCTCCCTGCTCCCTCTTTCTCCTTCTCTGATCATCTGTGCTTCTCCCCGCTCCACAGTTAAGCAAATAAGCTGTTTTAGTTGTGGTGAACATCCTGCAATTAATCCACCCTGATGACACCATCAGCTAATTGACATTTTTGTTTCTTAAAGATCAAATTCCGATCATGTGCACATAGATGTTCCCTCTTTTATTTGCGTGGCTCCCTTCTTCCCTCCTCCTCCCTCCCTCTCTCTGTTTCTGTATCCCACTCCTCACCCTCTGTTGAGTCTTCAATATGCAGATCGGCCCTTTCTAGCTCCGGGCTATTTTCTTTGGTAGACTTTTGAAATATGCAAATGCTTCCAACAAAAATTGCAAAGGAGAAAATGAAGAAGAAAAAAAAAAGAAAGAAAGAAAGAAAAGAAAAGCTTCATCTGGTTTCCAGGAGTTTTCCATTCAAAGAAAACCAGATGATTTTCTCTTGTTCGTGCTCTTGTTCTAGTTCTGTTTGTTTTATCAGTCAAGGGTCGGGACAATTAAGAAGCAAGGGAAACTCAAACCTGCCAGACAAAACAACAATAGAGATGCGGTCAAAAAAAAAAAAAAGTGTTTCGGTTGCACCGTTTGTGTTGATTCTATTTGACCAGACGTTCATTTTGTTTGGGTTTTATTCCTCAAGAAGAAGTGGACGCAGCTTTGATGTTTTGATGTGACCTTTCTGATTACCTTTGCGGGTGCAAAATGTGGCTGTAAAGTAGGAAGGATATAGTTAGCATACACGAGCCACACAGATGATCACATTAAAACACATTCCCAACTTCAGCCCCACATAAACTGTGGCTGATAAGACAACTCATCACTCCATATGGACAAAGAAGTTGCCGCACCAACACATCACAAGGTTAGTTCAAGGTAAAGACCCTGGAACTTCACAAAAGATAAAAGAATAAAGTCAGACGCCACAAGACGTTAAACTGTTGCAATCTTGTAGTACCGTCTAAATACAGATAGGATCAGAAAGTCTTTATATTCAGAAATTTGTTTTTCATGATCGGTGGATTATTGATTCCCCCGGCTTTTTTTTTTTTTTTTTGCAAAGCTGTTTATTGTTCAACTGCATTCAGTGGAACAAAGTGTAGAAGCCGCACGAAAAGCTGCACAGTGTTTTTCTCATGTTTCCACTTGGACCAATGCGATGCAGAGAAAACCAGACGACTCAGGGAATGCGGTAATGTTTTTCATGTGTTGTGCTGGCTGGTCACAGCACCGGGATCTCGATTTGTTATTCATGAAGGAAGCTGGGTGAAGAGGCCCTTCTTATGATGCACATTTTTTTTCTCCCTGCTCCCTCTTTCTCCTTCTCTGATCATCTGTGCTTCTCCCCGCTCCACAGTTAAGCAAATAAGCTGTTTTAGTTGTGGTGAACATCCTGCAATTAATCCACCCTGATGACACCATCAGCTAATTGACATTTTTGTTTCTTAAAGATCAAATTCCGATCATGTGCACATAGATGTTCCCTCTTTTATTTGCGTGGCTCCCTTCTTCCCTCCTCCTCCCTCCCTCTCTCTGTTTCTGTATCCCACTCCTCACCCTCTGTTGAGTCTTCAATATGCAGATCGGCCCTTTCTAGCTCCGGGCTATTTTCTTTGGTAGACTTTTGAAATATGCAAATGCTTCCAACAAAAATTGCAAAGGAGAAAATGAAGAAGAAAAAAAAAAAAGAAAGAAAGAAAGAAAAGAAAAGCTTCATCTGGTTTCCAGGAGTTTTCCATTCAAAGAAAACCAGATGATTTTCTCTTGTTCGTGCTCTTGTTCTAGTTCTGTTTGTTTTATCAGTCAAGGGTCGGGACAATTAAGAAGCAAGGGAAACTCAAACCTGCCAGACAAAACAACAATAGAGATGCGGTCAAAAAAAAAAAAAAGTGTTTCGGTTGCACCGTTTGTGTTGATTCTATTTGACCAGACGTTCATTTTGTTTGGGTTTTATTCCTCAAGAAGAAGTGGACGCAGCTTTGATGTTTTGATGTGACCTTTCTGATTACCTTTGCGGGTGCAAAATGTGGCTGTAAAGTAGGAAGGATATAGTTAGCATACACGAGCCACACAGATGATCACATTAAAACACATTCCCAACTTCAGCCCCACATAAACTGTGGCTGATAAGACAACTCATCACTCCATATGGACAAAGAAGTTGCCGCACCAACACATCACAAGGTTAGTTCAAGGTAAAGACCCTGGAACTTCACAAAAGATAAAAGAATAAAGTCAGACGCCACAAGACGTTAAACTGTTGCAATCTTGTAGTACCGTCTAAATACAGATAGGATCAGAAAGTCTTTATATTCAGAAATTTGATTCATAGAAGAGCACTCTGCAAAAACACCCAGCGAGAGCACAAGGTCAGGACCAGAAAGGGTGGAACAAGGGTGGAACAACACAAAAGTGTTTCTGGAAAACTGGAATGATCAAAGCTGATTGCACATACATGCTGGAAGTAAAGTGAGGAGTGGGCTTAAATACACGATTGTATTTTGAGGAACATGCAATTTGAAACCAGAAACCCAATTTCTTACTGCTACGCTGCTACCTTCCGCTGTCGCCCCCACAGATCGTGTGGTTTAAACAATAACACAACTGTTACGAAGACGACAATGAAAACACGAAAGCAAGGCAAAAGGTGGACGCAGTTTTAAATCAGTGTGAAAAGGAAAATATTGTTTGCTTCCCTCAGGATTTTACCCTGCATTTTTTATGCCCTGCCTCTTTTGTGCCGTCTCGTGGTTCTGATCAGGAGTGTCTTTGACCTTCAGCTCTCCCTGAGTCAGAGGGATCCTTCACAGCGTGAGTCCTTACCCACAACCCCCTGCTGTGAGCTTAAATCAGAAGCAGAGTCAGTGGCGGATTGGAAAGAGCGGGCGAAAAGAAAGAGAAAAGGTGGAGACAAAGCTCGGTCGCCGTTCGACGGAGAGAGAAAGGCAGAAGCAAAGAGTGGGAAACAGAGGATGTGGTGAGAAAAAAAAAATCATCAAACTACATCCAACGAGCGTTTCACAGAAACTGAGAAATAAGAGACCAAAATCTGTCCAAACTCAGAGACTTAAAGTCTGAGGTTCAGCCAAATGAGGTATTACTCACTTTGAAGTAAATTTTTTGGATTGCAGTTCTCTTAGTTACTGGATTAGGGATGATTTATGATGGTAGACGTGAAAAGTTTGCCGCACAGTTTCTTGCTGCATTGGCTGGAGGTGAAATGACTCAGCAAAAGGATGAGGGGACGAGGAAGAGGAGGAGAGGAAGTTGTGCTCACAGAAACAGGACAGGTTTCTTCTACACAAACGCCTGCTGTGACAGAAGTGATGCAACGTTTACACTGACACATTTGCTCTGACCGCTTTGAGCCGATCATCTATAAGAAACGGACACGGCGATTTGTCGACTTTAGAAACGGTCACGTAGGAAAAACACACTTTTCCTTTTAAAATATACTTTTGCTAAATCTTCAGTACAGAGACACTTTATGATCTAAAATTGTTAAAAGGAAAACTGGAATATTTTCATAGATCATACATCAATATATTTTCCCAAAAAGAAAGTAGTCAACATCACAAGAAACAGTTTCTTGCTGGTTCAACAATTCAAGAATAATTAGGAGGTGATGCATTTTAGTCAGGTGGTAAAAAAAAACAAAAACACCTTCAGCATCTTAGAAGTCATCCCTTAACAGAAGGTGTGTTTTGGCACGGTTTTATGCTGAATGCACTACCTCACACAACCTCACTCTTTGGGGTTAGGGGTTAGAGTCTGTGAATCCCACCACTGGACCATCCATCCCCAGTCGACTGAAAAGATCGAGTCACCATTCCCATTATTTCGATTTTTTTTCTTTAGATATATCTAATTTTTAGATGATCTGTTATGAACGTTAAGGAAAGATATTCAGGTTCACTGTTGCAAAAAGAAATATGAAATTCAGAAGACTGAGACTGGGTGCGTTTGGAAACTAAGAGATACAGATGGTGGCTTAAATCGAGGGAAGCGTTTGAGCCTTTAATTTCCTCTCAGCTTTAACTAAAGCCCGTGAACTGACTGGCAAATGCATTTGTTCCTGCATTTGTGTCCTTCTAACGTCTAATCGCATTTTGTCCACGTCGTCCTTCGTATATGGCGCAAACAGCATAAGAGAGAAATGTAGTCAGGAAATACCTGCAGCTCTGCAGCCTGTGGCCATAGACAACTGCAGCCCTGTGCCCAGCTGCAGCCCGGAGCCAAGTCAAACACAGGGTGTCCCCGAAGGGCCGGCCCGCCTGGCTCTGGTCGGCCCCGAGCCTTTCATGAATGGACAGATTTCTCTGAAGCCCACGTGGTTATAAAGGCTCTCTGTAATGGAGATGATTTCTCAGGTGGAAAGTAGGAAGTATCAGATACTGAAATATTAAATGATCTTTGATACCAAGTGGCTGCAGGGATCAGGGATTTTTGAATCATGATCCTGTGGTTCTGTTGCAGGAGATAATCTGTGGTAATTGCGTAGAAGGTTAAATAAATCGCTACATGAAGTGTGTCCAAAGGTTTAACAAGGAAGGTCTGATTCAATAATGTAAATACACCCAAGGGGCAGCTGTGCTCCTGTGAGAAACTCCAGACTATAATTACTGGATGTGACATTTCTACATTTGGTTCTTGATTCAATTTCAACCGTCCAGTGTGGGATAGGTTGATACGACACAAATATTTTCAAGCACCTAACATTAAATATATTTACAAATTTGTCAAGGGCGGAAAAATGTATGTGAATATTGCTACCGATTCAGGTAAATGTACGTATATATCTTTCTAGCAAAAATAAAAATTAAACTAATTGATTCCATGTAGCATGTTATTGTATGTAGCAAAACATTGCTAAAATAAATAAATGTTAAAGAGGACTAAGGTTAATTTAGAAATAACTAAAACATGCTAAATTGTGCAAAACTGTGACTGAAATCCATTGACTTTTTTTGTCATTTTCCTGTATAAAAAGCACAACTGTCCAATGCCAAAGCACAAACATCCCATTTAACCACGTGAAACCCATCCAGAGGAAATACCAGCAGCTGGGGGCCGGACTTTGAACGTGTACATTTTCTATCTAGGTGGAGATAACGACTGTACATCGACGGTTTGCCTCTTTTTCTTTTTCTCTTTTATTCATTATCGGCCCATGATGAGGCACACAGTGTTTGTGCACAAGTTAAAAATACAAAGCTGTGATTATTCAGCAGGGTGATAAGGAGAAGAAGTGGCAGAATTTATAATGAGCAATTTGAGAGCGGCGTGACAAAAGAACACTCCTGAACATGTCACTGTGACGCTGTGAAGGTTTTCGGCAGCAGGCAGGACTGCCTGCATCAGCCCACACGTCAATCAAAGCTGCCTCGCAGTGGCGTCTAATTAAATAAATACAGGCAGTACCTTTAAACACAGCAGGTTAATGGTGACATGCAGCTCTGGAGCTAACGCTTATTCACTGCACAGTGAGCGGAGTTTCACATCCACATTGCACACTTCATGAGCTACAAACCCCAGAACTCCACCATGCCATCCCGGGGGGAGAAAACAAATATTTTTAGTTTCACTTCTTGAAAAATTTGGCAATTGAAATTTCCTCTTGAAGTGTTTAATGAATGGCAGCCCACAGATGTCTTAATTACACCTTCACAGTATAGGGATGTGTTGTTACTGAAAAGTTCAAACAAATGAACAGCACCAAGCAGAAAACAAAAGAACAAGTTGTTGAATTGCTAATCAAACCCATTCTGTCATTTACCTTAAACTTCTCCTGCAACACTCACAGGATCCACAGTCAGGAATACAAGAAAATGACAAGGTGATAAGCTAAATATCAATCATTTCCTCTAAATAGGATAACAATTTATTTTATTTCCTACAGGTCAAGACACACAACTAGAAATTTAAACCACAAAATCCTGTCAAAAGAGTCAAAAATGTAACATCTGTAGCTCTGGAGTCCTGAGTCTTTCCATCTCCGATCACTCTTTACTGAACCAATTTTCTCAACCTTTCTGTTGTTTCAACCCTCTGTGGACCTGGAGTTGAACCTCCAGTCACAGCCTCACACATAAAAGATCGATGTCAACATTTTTACCAATGTCAGGGGTTTTTTTGGGTTCAAAATTTAAATTTTCGTCCTTGGGGACACACGGTGCAGACCCAGCACCTCGACTTACATCATCAGACCCGAGCGCTAACACCACATGACCAGGATCAGAGAGGACCTTGGCATGTGTACAGTGAAAACACAGCTCTCTTCAGTGTCTCTCTCTCTTTGATGTACATTATCAAAGACCTGGACCAAAGGCTACCATTGTTTTTGTTGTTGTTATTGATATTGTTTTTCACCCTTATAACACAAAGCAGTCTGACCATGACTCTGATGCTAATGTGGAGGTGGAGAGGGTGTTTTAATGAGCCCAGGAGTAGATCAGAGGGGCTCAAGGGGGTTACGGAGCGGGAATAGGTAACACTGAACATCAAAACACATCCAGCGCTTATGCTTTTTCACCAGCCGTGACCTTTCAGCACCAGCTAGAGGATGTAACAGGGATATTTGGAATTTGTTCTGCAAACTCTACAGAAAGTACAGAAATGAGAACCAGCCAAGGGACAGAGTATCAGTGAAGCTGCTGACGGAGAAAAGCTGTGTCAGAAATCTCTATCTTTTTTTGCAAACTATTGTGATGCTCTGAAATATTTCTTAGTTTTAAATAGAATACACAAACAATGAGCATCTCCAAATATATGGACTTTTTATTTTAACCAACTCTTTGGTGTACTCCCTTAAGTCAGCCGTCTCAGGTTCTTAAGACTACGTCCAAGCTAAGGTTGTATTTTTTTGTATCTTTATTTCCTTCTGGCAACAGTAGAAATATCTGTATGATCTGATGTAACTTTGGTTTACATCATATCTTGTTTTAGGTGAATAAGAAAATAATACCGCAACGGGTAAGGGTTAACTTCACGGAAAAAATATTTTCTCCATCCAAGGAAAAAACACAAGGAAGACAGCAGCTCCAGCTCCAGCTGAAAACGCAGGTGTCGGCGCGTCCGTTCTTCACCATGAACTAGTTTATAAAGGCAGACAAGACAAAGGTTCCTTATCAGCGCTGGTAGGCATTTTGTTGTGTAATCTCATTATACTGACTGTTGAGATGCTCATAGACTTTCATCACAGCGGGAGCTCATACATCAAGCTCTCAGTGAGCAGCGGGATGAGGGTCACGTCTGGCTGCTGTGACGACGCTCGCACCAGCAGTCGTCAGAGATGGAGATGACAGAGGCAGATTAGAGGCTCCACGTTTTCCATCTTTGCATCCGTTTGTGGGTTGAACATATAAGAAAAAGAACAGCGGAAGGTGGAGTTTACCTTACTTTTTAAAAAACATATCCTTCCCAAAAGTCAGCTGTTTTTTTTGTTTGTTTGTTTTTTAAAGCTGGACTATGCCAAAATTCAATGGAAGGCTTAGCTTCCCTTTATTCCCCCTTTTGGAAGGCTTAGCTTCCCTTTATTCCCCTGAGAATGGAGCTGAATAAACAATTTGGTATACGTATTATTATTACTCTGTCCAAATCTCATTCGTTTCTTCTTTTAAATCAAAACCACTAAAATAAAGGTTTTAAAAAGAAAAACTGACAGGAAGTTACAACAATATCTTAAAATCTAAATTCCTTAGATGGTTGTTTCATACAACTGCACGTTATTGTTTTCCTAGAGAACTCTGGCATGAACTACCTTTATCAAAACGTTCTGGACCGCTCTTTCTTTTACCAATTAAAACAAACATCAAACATCATAATTATTTTTGAAATGTGATTATCCAGGGGATTTTCATTTGGTTTTTGTTCAACTGAAGTTTTTCCTGACTATCCTTGAAAGTATTTCTCAGCTGAGTTAACTCCTTCACTTGTTCTGATCCCATGGTTTAAAGAGAATAGAAAAGGGAATTCATCCAGGTTAGGGTTTAATACGTAGAGCAAAGTGTGCTGGAACAAGGCAGATGGGAGGAAGCTAAAGAAAAAGACTTGTTTACCTTTCCTCCCCTCCTGGATGGAGGGGGATTCATTAGCTGCTGTGTAAATCAATCTGCTTCCCCTTAAAGGCCTGTCAATTTAGCCCTGATGTCTGGCAGCCTGACATCGCTCACTGGATATTTAACTTGAAAGCCAATTAATCATCATGATTAATTCACTTACAAACCACATGGAACTGTTTGACTTCACCTTCTGGAGTAAAAAGGGCCGAATGCTCACGGAGTTGAAGAGGCCGGACTGAGGAGGACTGAGGAGGACGGAGTCTTGCTGCTGTGATCTCTCAGCTGTGAGTCCAGACAACAACCTGCACGACTCGGTTCCTTCACTGTAAACAGATTTCAATCGGATGTGTAATTCAAATTGTCAACGACACTTTTCCGCTGCTGAAAAAGTTGAAAGAATACATGTATTGCACTTATTACAAGGTAACACCAGTGTGTCAGAAAAAGCAGCAGTTTTTCTGACACTGATTTTACTCTGTGCTAATATTTTCCTTTAATATTTCCACTTTCTCTGAAAAAAAGGAAAACACGCATTAGGAAAGCAAAGTGCGAGTGTGAACACATTTTCCATTCAGCACTTTATAATTATCTGAGTCGAGGTAATGGAAATGACCTAAACTGTGTGCAGAGTTACAGAAAACGGAGGCTCTGCTATCAGCAAATGAAGGAGATGATGTCCTGTAGCTCTGCTCTCATCCATCATTATTTCCTCTGCTCATTCAGTCAAGCGTGAGGAAATACAGTCTACTACTTTGGAAATCCTCTCTCTCACTGTCTCTGACAGGGCAGAGTTAGCAGAAGCCAGAATGAACCGAGGTGTCATCAGTTGATCAACATTTGCAAATGTGAATTTTTTATTACTATTATTCGGCTAGTTAAACGCTAGTCATAACATGCACAAAAAGCTTATGGTTAGCCGATTCATTAAAAAAAAAAGAATTTGGCCAGAATTAGCTTCAAGTCAGCCAGAAACCAACATAAAAATGAAAACTTTACTAATAGTCAAATGTTATCAAGGTAGTAGTATTCACCATTCTACCTCAAAAAAAAAAAAGACAGAAAAGGTTAACATTTTATTACAACTACCTAGAATAAGCTAAACCATGACTACAATTCTAAAAAAACAAAAAACAAAGGCTAAAACAGTTTTGATATGCAATAATGCAATGCCACAAGTTGCTACAAATGTCTTAAGGTAAATATGATGAATAAATATATATTAGCCAAATCATAACTAAATCAATTAGAACACAAACAGCATAAATTAGTAATACATCAACATAACTAAAAAAGGCATGATAGTAACAAAAAAAGTTTAAATTTGCTATTGAAATAAAATACTTGAGAATCCATCAAGATACATGTTATTAGGTAAAAAAAAATAGCTATGGATTTGTTAAAATGGCTACCAAAAATAAGCCTTAAATAAATATTAGACACTAAATGATAAAAACACACAAATAAAATAAAATTTGCCCACTATGTTTGACCTATTCTGCAGATTTTCAATGCATTTGTCAAATGTTAAGTAAATAAAGTGATTCAATCAGATGCTGAATGCTTTGTGACAGCACCTGGCCGAGTGATGACTTCCTGTGTTCTCCACGTGCACAGCAGATCAATCAATTAATCAGCCATGCACCAGGGACGCACAAAGAGAACGTTCTGTCAGCTGCAGCCCAATCACATCTGAAAAAAAAAGAAAGAAAAAAAAAAACAAACTCATGTCCAAGTTTAAAGGTTGACACCACTGCCTTTAGATTCAGGGCAACTCATATTTATACTGCATACATGTCAAAAGTCAAAGTGTTTTTTCATTCTCAAGCATCTGTTCAACACATGGCCCAACCTGACCAGGAATGCTGGTGCTTTACCAACATTTTTTGCATCCATTTCTGAGTATGTTTGCAATGTTACAAATACATTTAATTAGAACTTAAAATAAATTATTGCAAATAAAACCATTGATACTGCCTGTGTAACCATAGCACAGTCAGTAAAAACACAAATGTAAAATACCATTTAGTTCGGGAACTGGGTTAAAGAAAAAAAAAGTCGGAGAGAGAACTCCCCCTCAGGTGTTGAATATAAGCAACAGATGTTGTATTTAGCATATATAACAGACTGAAGTAACAACAGCAGTTTTAAATGTCAAATAAAATCAGTTCGATTTGAATGTGCACTGGCCAAAAATACATAAAACACTTTGATTCACACACCTGTATGATGTGCATATGGCAAACCATGCTCTTCAATAGTGAGGTCAAAAATATCCAGGGGATATAGGACCTGGGACTGTGTTTCTTTGGTTTGAAAAATGCAATAAACAGCCATCTGCACAAACATTAGTGCCATTTGCCATGTTTATAAGAGTATTGGGGATGTGAAAAAACCCTTAAAGCAGATTAGAAAAATGTGTAATTAATTGTGAGTTACCTACAGACACATTTAAATATAATATAATATACAGCCCCATAATTAATTTCAGATCAAGCGCAGGAAGCTGTGTTCTACCTAACAACTCCATCGGCAACATCCTAAGTGCAATATCTCCAGTATCTAATGTATCTTCAACACCCTCGTAGTCCCGTCTTTATCATTGACACCTTTCTCCAAACCATACATCAACATAACATATCTCACTACTTTACTATCCTGTATTTATGGCAGCTATTGCATATATAATTATTCTACCATGAACCCTTTTGTTCTCCTTTTGTAGATCAGGGTTTCCCGAGCTTGCCCACTTGTCTATTTTGCACTCGTTAGCTACATGCTAGCTCCAGGTGTAGAGCAGCTTGATAAGAGGCTAAAAACACCTACATAGATTATGATGTTATGATGCAGCTGTCACACAAGGTGCATTCATTTACTATTGGAAACTAGATAACCCGACAATTATGGCATTTTACATGTTGTACCGTTCATATATAAATAAATAAATATCTCCCCTCTAATCCCTTCCTCCTTGTGCCCCCCACCTTGAAAACCACAGATTTCCGTGGCAGTAGTTGACCAACCACAGAGGAGCTCCAATAATCAACTCCTCTGCGGTTCTGTACACACCGAGGCCCTGACAGTAAAATACACATGACATACAACCTCCCTCCGAGCGTCGAACCGTCCTCCACACGAGCCCCAAACCCTTTATTTGAACAGCAGCACATGAAAGCAACTGTGGACAATCCACATGGGCTCGTATCCAATCTTAATTAAAAAGCTCCTGCTTATTTATTTGCTGAAACAAAGGGAACAAAACTGAAGGTTCATTTAAATCCAATTAGGTTCTGTGCTGATGCCTCCGAAGATGAGAGAGTAATTGGGGTTTGAACACCAAGGTCTTTGTTCTGAGTTTCAGTAGAAGACTGATAAAGGAAAGGTAAGCACGCAGTGGAAGAACATTCCAAGTGGGGCAGGGCCGCGAACGTATCAAGACTACGACCATCTAACGAGACAATTAGCAGCACGGAAATTATTCCTTGTTTTGTTCTGGGTGGAAAAAACGTGTTATTGAATGTCCCACTGCAGGTGTTACTGAAAAGATCAGCTGAGTTAATTGCTCCAGTCATTATTGACTTTACACCACATGCCGAGTCTTAGCATATTCAAAGTGAAGACTGTTAGTGTTTAATTTCACTTAACTGAAATACATTTCTTCTCATAATGTGGTTATGATCTATTTTACCCTCAGTGATTTATACACTATTAATGTCATTACTGATTTATGACCAGGCACAGTGGGTGTTGGTAGGAGTGATCAATAACTGTCGTACGTACACACACACACAGTCACTTCTGTAGAAATAAGAAGAACACATAGGAATAGTGCATTTCCTATTATAAACCAACCATCCTGAAACCAAGGTCAAATTCACATTTCCTACACCTGTAGTATCTTAATGGTCTCTCTGTGCATTCTCAATATTAACTTTTGTGTACATTTTTAGTGTTAACTCAACAACAGCCAGCATCACACTTCTTCTACATATTCTTCTTCTTTTATATCAGCATTTTCTATCATTATTTAGGAAATTACCCAGCTGATAAAACAAACTATAGCTTTTGTCAACCTGTGGTTAAAAGATTGGGCTTGTAATCAGAGGGATGTGGTTTGAATCCTGGCTTGGTCAGACCTGTGGTTTTGAGAAGGAACTTCTTCACTGCTCCTTAAAACAAATTGTCACTTTAAATAGCCTTTACCTTTTCACAAGACTGAGCGTTGTAAAAAGACATAACAGCTGGAAAAGTGACACTTTTCCATCAAAAAATGCTGTCTGTGAGCCATAGGTTAAATAGACAAATATGAACACTGAACCTAACCCCACATGTTTGTGAACTATGGTAGGATACTGGAGCACCCACGCACACACACAGAACATGCAAGAAATCTATAATGTAGGAATATCAGTTCAAACTGCCCTTGAAAACCTGGACCTTTTTAATGTAAGGCAAGAGCACTGACCACACTTTTACCTCATGACTCAGACGTATTATTATTCAATAAATATGAATAAATGTGGATGTGGGCGTGGCCTTCAGCCACCTGCAGGTGGAGCTGAGGAGCGAGTTCATGAAAGCAGCTGCGGGTGTTTCTTGTCTGTAATCACCTGCAGTCAGGACAGATCTGGAGACTGTAGCTTAGTTACTTTAACTGAAGGCTGTGCTTCAGGGGAGACGTGGGGAGAGAGAGGGGGGAGGGGTGTGGGCAGAATTAATTAGTGCCGTTGCTTAACTGTTCAATCCCCAGCCTTCTGTATGTAGTTCGCACTTCCTCCCACCATGATTTCTTAAGAACATGGCGTGAATGACTTTTTTTGTGTTAAAAAGCATCAGTATCATATCTGTGAGTGAGTAGGAATGTAAAAGAAATACTATACATTACATGTAGTCAATGTATGTAGTAAATTTAGCTTTATAAATGTATACTGCAAAATTCACACATGCATATATATATATATATATATAGTCAAAAGTTCCTTCTGCTTATTTCAAAACAACAAAAAGGTGAAAACATTTCAGCTGAGGATGTAAGGGTATGCTGACAAAGAAAGGCCAGACAAAGGGCTAAAAAATATTTACTTATTTTGATCAAAATATACCTGCAAGCCTCAGGCAACTCTACAAAGAAAGGATCCACTGTTTTTATATCATCCATTTTTGGTGCCATCAAGAACAAACAGTTCCCAAGGCACTGTCTACAAATCAAAGGTGGTCCACGTTTGTATTTGGGTTACATTTGGTTCACACATGTGGACCACTTTAGGTTCTACATCTAATTTGTTTGGGCCAATTGAATGTTGGCAGTGCAACCTCATTGCCCATAGTGTCCCATAAGTGCATTTTATCTAGGAGAAAAATGGAGCCCAGTTCAGTTCTGGCAGAGGAACAACAAACAAACATTTAAGAGGGTTCAATGAAATTTCTATTGCTGCAGGCTCACAATTAGCTGTTCACAGGGGCGCAATTTCAGCCTGTGCCCCAGGCAATTGTGTGCCTACTCTATCCTGTTAAAATTCTCCAGTTCATCAGTTTATTTTTGAATTTCATTAAAATGGTTGCTCAGCCCAATTTTGCAAATGTCAAATTAGCATCAGGAGAGTTTTTTTTCCAGCAAAAAAAGACTTAAAAACATTACAAAGGGACAAATGAGACGGATTTAAGGACAATAATGAAAAAATCCTTCTCTCGGCAACACAATAAGTTTAATCAATCGGACACTTGGATGAACTGCTTCTCTGTCTGTGCCAGTGTAAGTGTGTTTAATACAAGGTTGAATAAACCTAATTAAATTACCTGATCAATAAGACAGAGCTGTGAGTAATCTCACATCTGATCCTCTGTATGCAGAAAAACACACACACAGCTCCTGGAGATGTCCCCCCGCCCGCTCCCCCGTCTAACATTTATCAGTGTAGGATTTAAAAAAATAAAGCACCATTACAGGACACCAACAACAGTGATCAGGTTACATACATAAACCCCTGGGATTTTTTTAAAGGTCAAAGGTCTCCTAGAAAAAGGTTAAAGGGCATTTTCCTGGCTTTAGGCCAAGGTCAAGGTGGCAGAGGTCAGCGTAGGATTTGGCAGTCTTATCCTGCCCTTGGCCGTGGGCTGATCAATAGAAGCGGGCTCTGTGCTCGGCTGGGTCTAACGATCGATGAGACATTTACATTTGGTCCAGTCACTTAGAAGCCTGGTCTCTACAGTGGTTCCCCCTCCATCCTTAAGTCACAGACAACACCACAACTACAGCTTTTTCACTTGTTATTACCTCAGGTGTAAATACACCATTTGGTAACATCGACAGCTCTTAGCTAACTTGCTAACATGTCAGCCAAAAGTCACCAAATGCTAACAGGCATTTTTTTCCACCACCAACTGTACAGGGTGGATGTAATTCCCTGAATACATAAATTCCCATTCAGTGCTTGTTTACTGCAACAAGGACTGTAGTCCAATCAAACCCTAACCGTAGCTCGTGCATGTAAATGTACAGACAGTTGTTTGTTTTGTTTTGCTTGATTTCACTTTCTATGATTAACATCCCTCTGTCAGCTTTTCTTCCCCGTTAGCTTTGCTCCCTCCCTCCCTCTCTCCCTCTCTCTGTCTGTCCCTCTCTGCTCGGTGCTGTCACAGTCCTGAAGCCTTCTCCGTCCTCCACAGCCTCTCACTGACACAGGACATTTAGACAAACTGAAGCTATGTTGTTTGAACAGTGTCTCCTATTAGATGGCTCTCCCCTTTATATTCACACACGGTGCATTTCCAGTCCCAGAGCAATTATACACATGACTACACATGGAGCTAAAGGAACGGGCTGAAGCTTTATCACCAGGCAAAGAGCAGCAACACTGAGCCGCTGTCTTCTGCTTCAATGTCCACGTCCACAATCAAAGAAAGAGCTTATATTATTTAGTTGTAATCAAACGACCACGACTCGGAAAGGGAAAGTAAAAGCAGACTTCAATTAGTGATTTGCTGTCTTTGCAAAACCACTCAAATGAACAAGTGGTGGTAATTATTCACTCGGAGTCAAACTTTTACCTCGGGTTCTGAAGCAGTGTCTTTTGAGTTCCAGTCTCGTTCATTGTGGATCGTTTTCTTGGCAAGTTATGCCCATTTAGGATTAACCCGCAGCGGAGGAACATCTTTTAGAGCAACGCACGTCATGTTTGGATTAATAACATCAACACTGGTGCAGCTGCTCTTACTGTATTAACCATCCAGAGCCAGTGTCCACTTTAAAAGCAATGGGAATCAAAAGACTATGCAGTAAATGTACAATTCTATCAGCGTTGGCTTTGACCTCACTGGAAACATTCACCTTTTCTCATCCTGAGCCAATTATCATGTAGATTACTGTGGTTACTTACTGGGCTTTTTTTTTGCACATTTAGGCAAATCCTGTTTAGTGTGGATGAAATGAGACCAGGTGGGCATTGTCCAGAATGGTGGTACTCTGGTATAGTATTTTCTACAGTTAAAAAAGGCAAATTAGCCTGAGAGTATTAATGTGTATCACTTTCTAACCAAATTGTAATTGGTTAATATGTAATTAGTTGAACCAAAACATTGAACTGCTTGGTTAGGTTTCTTTCTACAGTGTTTTAGGCAAAAGACACTTGTTGACTGAATTCAAAAATTGCAGCACATTGAACAAAGAAAACAACAACAAAGAATTAGTGTTGCGGTGGTAAATAAGCTAAATGTACAGTTTAGTTTATGTTGTGTCCACTGCACTAAAAAACATTTAAAAATGTGGGAAATAGCAGAAAGTATTACGAAACTAAATAATGGTTATGTGATATCAAACACTTATTATTATTTAACCTCTTATACATCAGATCCACATCAACACTGCACTTTACTGTTACAACTGTGACATCACACATTCAGGCCTTTGGTCTAGTGGTTAGTGGAAGAATTAGGGATTAGTGACCTCAGAATTGTGTGTCATTAGGGATTTTTTTTCCAATCCAAAAGAACCAAATGCCAAAGGTCTATGTTACAGTATTGTCTCGCCAACTGTATGTGCTTTTGTACTACTGTACTTCAACTGAACAAGAAATGCTGCGATTCTGCCTACCATGCACATCCTGTTTCTGAGGTGTCCTAGTCAGAGGGTGTCTTTGAGGACAAGGACATTCGTGTTCTGTGGTAGCTCTCTGCTTTCAGAACAAGGGTCGGAACAATGTCAGAGGCACTGGCAGCAGCTGAGATGAACGCAGGACGTTTGAAGATGAGGAGCGATGTTTGAACCTGCTGGCTCCTTTCAGCCTCCCTGTGGGTGAGTGAATAAGGAAAGACGAGTCATGTATTATTTAGAGGTAGACCTGCCTTTGTGCTCGATCAGGGCTCGATTGAGAGAGGCTGTGATGATGTTTTGTTCCTCCCATGCACAAAAACGAATGTCTCCTCTGTCATCGCAGGTGAACTTGTGACCTCCGTGCATAACCGGGTCAATACATGCGCACAACAAAAGCAGAATGCAGGAAATGCATCGCGCCCGTCTTCTATTAGACAGTGTCAAAGGAGAATTTAAGAGGCGTTGTTGTCTTTAACATTCATTATGGGGCAGTGGTGAGGAACCTGTCGTCCTTAAGGGGCTGTTTTTGAGCACTAATAGACCCGAGTGCAGGACTATTGGTAATGTGCCTGTACCTCTGGGAGCTGTGTTTAAGCCAATCCCTAATTAAAGTAGAAACTCTTTGCGCTGTGCTCCTCCGCAGTTCAGCAAATGAACCGTAGCTAATAGGCTCTTTAAGTCATTAGCAGCTCTGATTTGTAGCCACAGCACCTTGTTAAAAGAACAGAGGTTCAAACAATCCCAGGATAGAGACATATGTGGAGCTGCTCCTCCATTTATGCCATTTTTAACTGGGGGCAAACTGATCATGAAAACAAAACCAACTGCTCCTCTTCTTCCAATTAGTCGACTCATGAATGCTGAGCCTTTTACTGCATCTTTCTAAATCTTAAGTTCAGTTTTATTTTCATTATACGTCGTAATCTCTGATTCTTCCACTTTTGGAAAATAAGGTTTAACATAAATAGAAATAAAACAAACCAAAAAAACACAATTGTGCTCTTAAAAATAAACAGCTGAAATATAAAACACTGATAAAATGTTTAACTTGCATAAATTAATATCTGTAGTAATTGTCTTAGAAAAAGGAATAAATACAGCAGAAATATATTAATTAACATAATAGCTACTTATAGGTTAAAAATCAAATGAAGGAAAGAAATGTAGCTTAAATCGTTAGGCAAAATTTATGGGATTATTTTAGCCTTGACAATATTGCTAAACAGCTAAGGATGTTAGTGCACAAAATACCTTGGTTTGTATTAAGACAAAACTGTCAAAAATAGTCTGAATTATACATTAACAAATGCATGAATGAATAAATGAAAGCTCACCAGAATATAACCTCATGTTAGCCAATTCACTAAAACAGCTTAAAAAGAATCAGTTGAGAACATCATTTTTTATATTAAATACTAATTACCTTATTAATTGGGGGTTACTTTGGTGGTAATAAGGGCAGCAATGTGGTCAACCCGGTGTAGACCATGGGGAAATGAGACAATGTTGACGTCCGCCATAAAGGAACACAACTCATACCTAAAATATAAAAAAAAGAAGTAATTTTTACACAGATGAAACTACACAGTGTTGTACCCAGCATCTTTTCTGTGCACTCGGCGTATTTTCATATTAATCCTAATGTGTTCTGGTCTTGTTCCGGGTGAAAAGCCTGCTTTTTATTTTACCTCACAGAATATCAGTGAACCATGAATAAATAAATGCTGGGAATAAAGTGCTGCTGCCACGTCAGGCAGGCAACATTTGAATATCAAATCTGAATCAAAATACAGGGAAAAATACAGGTTAACCTTCAAGCTACAGTGTACATTGACTCTGAGTTAAATATGCATTCAGAAGATTTATTGTCCTGCGTTGATAGGCCCGCGAGGCTGGACAAACGCCATCAAATGACACTTTTTCCTGCTTCTTCACCTCCCTCCGGTTTGTCAATTCCTGGATCTACAATCAGGACCATCCATCATTGTGGCACATGACGCAAAAAAAGACGATATTAAACCCACTCTGAGAAAATGTATTCACGGGAGCTGAAATGAGAGTAAAACGCTGCTTAAGCACTTAGGAAAAGTGAAGGTTAAAAAAAGGAGAATAGTGCAGGTGATGCAACTTTGAAACTGACAGTTGGAATAAATATCAACTCATATCTGGATGGACTTTTAATTCACACAGAGCCAGACAAGATGATCTGCAGAAGGTCAGTTCTCACATGTACAGAGAACACGTGCACACGGTGCTGTTGACATGCTGCTGCACTGGAGAAAAACAGGCAGGTCATTACACTGAAATGAATGGAGATGTTAAATATTCAAATATCACGACTGCTCATATTAACTGACCTCAAACTACCGCCCCCTGGAGGTTGGACTTGATGTGGCTTCAACTCTGTTACCAACCAATCACTGTCTAATCTAAATCCAGTGCACCTGCTGTAATGTTTTTCACTGGGGGCGCTGTGGAGCTGGACCTGCTAATATATTGAAATAAACAAATAAATAAGTTTGTTGAAACAATGACAATATTTCTTTAGAATGCGCTGCCTGCAGGTCATTCCTCTCAGCTACTGTCAGTCTGTACAGTCGACTGAGTGCTAGATAACAACCACTGCAAGACCAATCCACAGCAAGGCCCAAAAATACAATAGAAATGAAAAAAGAAAATGCAAAAAAAAAAAAAACAAGTAAAAATAAATGTGTTGAGCAACAGCACAGAAAATAAAAGTTACAAAAAAACACTTGTTTTTTATCCATGGGAAATATCCCATTTCTACAAACCAAATCTACTCTGACATTCTCATATAAATAACTCCAACAAATAAAAGTTGAATATTGTGTTCCATGAAGTTCAAGGCTGCTGAATGAAGTCATTACAAGTACAGGAAATGCGGAGGGAACAGATGGAACCGCGGGAAGGAAGAGAGATTTTTTTTAAGAAAATGGGATTGACAGGGAAAGGTCAGAGTCAAAGTGAGACTCTCTTGACTTCGCAGGCACAAAACACAGATGTTCTCGCACAGATGTTGTCAATTTATACCAACACTCAAATATTTTTTTTAGGTGTAATCTAATATATTTGCTTGTGAATTTTCACTCGGCAGCTTGTGAGAGACTGAGGAGCAGATTTGAAGCATCACATCACACCACAACACCTCATAAAACGTGTAATAATTTAATGGTTTTAATGCGAGTTAGCGGAGTGACAAGCACAGAATCATCAGGGGGATTTTTCCTGAACGTCTCTGAGCATCTATGAAGAATTAATTTACATAAAACAGACACACAAACAATTAAACAAAGCAATGAAATGTGCAAGGAAGAGAAAAATATCAACTTGTATGTTCATTCTTTTCCTGTCATGATCTGGGTCTCGACTGTTGTTGTATCATTTCTAAGTAAGTTTTACAAAGCAGGAGTGGAAAATGCACACAACACCAATGTATTTTTTAAAGTTATGCAATAAATGTATGAAGACAGTATAGATTAGAGTCAGAGAGCAGGCAGCACCCAAACGCAGCACTCAGATAAATATAGTTGTAGAAGGTTTATTGATATCAGTCCAAACTCAAATAACTGAACAACTCACTGGATACCAGGGACAGGCAGAAAAAAAAATCCAGAAAAAGAAACACAGGAACAAGATGGACCGTTGAACAACGACACAAAGGAGAGTGAGGGAGAGAGGTTTACTTACCCAGGGCAGCAGGTGACAAGAGTGAGACTAATGAGCAGAGGACACAGGTGAGAGTGATGACACTGATTAACCACAGGGAAACACAGGAGGACAGAGAGATGGGCAGACTCCACAAAAAAAAATGTTTCAGTTTAGGAATCAAGGCCAAGTCATAAAGTTCTGATAGAAAAAAAAAACATTATTTATTACAAAAATAAATAAATGAGGATAATAAAGCAAGTGTTTTTCAAATAACTCAGTCTAAAGACTTTTGAAAAACCTTTTCAAATAAAACCTGATGCTGAAGGCATAATAGTAAAAAACAAAACAAAAAACTGCACAACAAGCCTGTTAGGTATATCTTAAAATGTTTTGTTATTAAAAAATATAAAAATCAGGGTAAAAGCACAAAAAGAAAAGAAAAAAAGATAATACATCGATCTCTTAAAGGTACAGTAGCCATAGAAATAAATACAAGTCAATCATGCTAAATGTTTGTTGAAAACATGGAAACATTAGTTATACTTAACTTCAAATAATGAGAAACAGCTACAAGTTAACCTTTGGTCACAAGATTTATTAAAGTTTATTATACTAAAATGCCCCAAAACATTAAATAAAATCGGACTCGAAATCCGACCTAGCGGTCAAAGGTTTTCTCGTAGCTAGCTACAGATGCAAGGCTAAAGAACCGACAGTTAGCCCACACATTGTCATGTTTATTTTACTTCAACACAGGGTGAAATACAAACTTCACAGTTTTGCTGTTTTTTGTTTTGCGTTTTCACCGCTTTGATTTGTACCCTAAAGTATTTCTCCTTGAACTCCTTTGTACCTGCGTTGCATTAGCACATAAACTGTATTCTTTACATTGTCAGTCCAAGTCAGTCCAACGAGAACAAGCTGCTACACACTGTGTTCCTATAAAAAATATTTTGTACCATCCAGATTTAACAAATCACAGCTCTGGACATAACACACAATGCAGTCTTTATTCCACAGACATTTTTAATATTCAGCCTGTTCTCATCTCACTCACTTTTCATATGATTTCATAGCAAAAGTATGGCATCATAATTTGCATTAAAAACCACAAAATCCTGAGCCAAGAGTACGAGAGGCTGAGGGTCACATGACCTCTGCAGTGCAGGCGTTTTTAAACAAAAAACCTGGCGGACATTTATTCTCTCCTCATACGGGAAAATTTGCATTTTTTGTTTTGATCAAATTTTGACATTTGTAGTTTTTTTTAAGGCTGAATGCAACCTGCGGTTACAAGTGTTTCCAAAAACATCGTTTGTAAATGTGTCTTTTAATCACAGTTAGTTCATATTTTGCCAAATTATATTACAATTACGTTTAAATTTAAATCTTTTAAATATCATTACAAGTTATTTACACTTAAGTGTTTGTAAATCAACTTGTTATAAGATGAATAAGCCAAACACGTATGTAGGTGTACAGTATGTGTTTTCATTTGTGTGTGTGCAGATGTGTCAGAGTAGGATTTTAAACATTTTTTTGTTTTTCTCGTAAATATGTTGCCATTTCACTGTAATGTTTAATGGCTAACTTTTAGCTTTGTTTAATTGTTATAACTAGCTAGCTTGTGATAGCTTAGCTATTGCAGGGCTGGTATTGAAAATATTTTTGGCTCATTTGACCTATTGTTTAAGGTTTGTTTATCTTTTTTTTTACCAAAGGTTTAATAATATTTTCTTAAATTTCTTAAATCTATTTTCTCTAAATATTTTAATTTAAGCTGTTATTTGCAACCTTTGATGGAGATGCTACCTCTTGGCTTTAAGGTTTGATTACATTTTTTACATGATGAGAACTTGAAGACAACGTTAGCCCGAGGCTCCAGGATCCTGACCCTGCTTTGTGCGTGTTCATAGTAAATCTAATTCTCAGGACATTTAAAAAAAAAAACTTTATTTGTGGTCAGTTTGTATTGAGAAGGTATTAGTGTCAGATTAGATAACGGGTTAGGATTAACATTAGAAATCTGTGTGTTTATTTTTTTAAACCCAGAAAATGTGGTCATTTTAGTGTTGATAATGTATCCTATAATCTTTTATTTTAAGAGTACATTGAACACCTCATTTATGAGAATGTGGAGGCCAGTTTGCCCTGAGGCCCGGTTAATTTCTGACCCCGCTCTCACTCCCTCTGATTGTGTGTGTGTGTGTGTGTGTGTGTGTTTGTGTGTATCAGTGATTATTCATGTCATTCAGACGGAGCAGTGATTAAATATTCCTCGTAGCCTGAAAGCATTGGAACAAATGAAGCACGGCCACGTATTAACCAGCTCTGACACATCTCTGAAATAATGTTTATTTATCAGTGGTAACATTTACCAGAACTTCACTGGTCCCTGAGGAAAGTGAAATCCAACTGCCTGAAGCTCAGCGCTGTCTCTTCACCTGATAATTTCTTCTTTTTTCCCCCTTTTCTTAATCATATTAATTTACTTTGTGAAACTTCAAGAAACTAATTTCGTCTCGGAGACTTGCAGTATTCTATTTCCTTTCAGTAATATATAACGTGAGGTTTAGTAGAGGAGTTTCACACACAGATTGTAAGGCAAGAAAACTAGACTAGAAATCATATTAAATTTAATTATATTTAAAGATTTTAAAAATTACTTAACGTAAGGTAAAAAGGTATAGTTTCCTGAGAGTTATTTACAGAATATATGTTCATCTGCATGGAGATGCATTATTTCCTGGAATATTATAATACTTTAATTAATACAAAGCCTTCTTTTACCAATGCAAAACACCCACTCCCCCTCGCACTCTGTGTTTTTATACACATGGGGTTTGACTTTCAGGGAACGTCAGCCGTACTCGGGGTCAAAGGTTTTACTTTGCAAGTTGAAACTACTATAAAAGCACAGAAGTAGCAACAGGACGAGAGCAAACTGTAGAGTCTGTGGTTTGCGCGACTGCGTTCTGGGGATATGGCAGCGTCAGGAGACGTTTGATTTGAACCAACGATCAGGCAACAGGAGAATTCGTCGCTTAAGAAGCCGTAAGTACTGAGCGGGTCATTTTGTATATCTTGTATTAAGGGATTGAAAGATGTAAAAATATGTAAAAAAACAAAAAAACAAAGGGCTGCTGCTCATGCCATATGGTCTTTGATTTTGTTGCATTTACAAAAAAAGATTTTGTGAATTACCAACATTATTGTTCTATGATGAAAATCATTTTGGCTTTTCTTTTTTTTAATTGTTATTATCTGTGCTACACTGAAAAATGTTTTAAAAACAGACTGTAAAAAATTAAATAATAAAAAATAATTTAATAAAAAAATTAAAGAATATTTGTTTAGTTAGCCCAGAAATCCCCAAGCAAAAATGTGAAGAGAATAGTACCACAAACAAATAATAATTACAATCCCTGTGATATCTTAAGAACAGATATCTTAACAACAGAAACATATAATTAAAGAAGATAAAAACACAGCTTTAAAATTGCTAATGGTCATGGCCAAAACACAAGCCTAGAATATACAGGTTACGTTAAATGGGCAAAATGCTAAAAGATGGAGGAAACATTTGTCTAAAAATCACTTTGAAAACATTGATTAATCTTAGCCAGAAATCATTGGGTACGTACATCAGTACCTACAGTAACGATGGTTATCAAAACCCAAACGTGTAGAAACAAACATCAGCTAACTAGTAACAGCAGGGGTAAGTTTTTTAAACAATAAATGAGCATAGTTATTGATAAAAGGCAGTAAAAACAAACAAAATGAAAACTCGTAGCTATGTTCAAAATGTCAATATTTTATCATTTATGTCTACAAAGGTCACAGTTAAACCTAATGATGGGTCATGGATTAAAAGGATGAATGAATGATAGAAAGGAAACGGTGGTGGACCACATACAACTGAACCAAGTGCCATTATTAACCCCGGTGGCCAGGCTTTGGACATGGCTGGTTGAGGCCTGTTTATGAGATTTTCTGCAACATTTAGAGCAACGTGAAACACACTGGTGTATGAAACCAAGTTTCCAGTAAACTCACTGCAGCCTGTGTTTGTACGATCCAGCTTTGACTCAAACATCTTCATCTTCATTCATGTGTTTCTCTCTCTGCATTAAAAACAGCATTTCCTCTGCTCTAATCAGAGCCACATTTACTGCATTATGAAAACATCACCTGGAGCCACTGAGAGATTTCCTGCTTCTGTCATTTCTGCTGCTGCTGCTGAAATGTTTTTCCACAAATCTGAGCCTGAGACGCTGCTCCGGCTTCACCTTTGTTAATATCAACTCTAATAACGTCTCTGCAGATGTAGATCAAGTGTTAATAATAGGCCTGGCTTGTTTGCTTTGCCGTTAATGTTAAATACATAAAACATCACTTTTATTAATGTCACCCTAATGAAGAACAGTTGCATATTAAGCAACGCTTATGAATGAACATGAAGAGGGAAAACAGCAGGATTGAAGGGGGGGGGGAGTCATTAGAATACGTGTATTAGAATTGTATATTTGTGTCTATTAAATATGATAAACAGTGCAACAAACTGCCTGTTTGTTTTAGTTTACATGTCGTACAAATGTGACACTGGCTTTTTTAGCAGAACCTCATTAATAAACATGAGTTTCTGCAGAATGTAAGGAAACGGAACAGTTCTGTAGAACCACTGAGAGCCAGTGACTGTGAGGCGAGACGTTTAAAGCAGCAGGAAGTGAAGATTAGATATTAATGAGTTTATAAATTTAGAGGCATCTTATATATAAAACCAAAGTTTGAAAGGAGGAAAAACATAAAGAAATAGTCAACCACATTTATTA